GAGCACTTTTTTCAAATCTTCATTTGCATCTTTTTTATTCTCCCTGTTTTCCGCTCTTTGTAAATGAGTTGCATTATTTGTGCGGAATAGTTGGCAGAGAGAAGCGCGCATTAATTTCCGCATTAATAGATCGGATCGGATTCGCTCTTTCCGTCTTCAAACACGACAAAACGACATCTAATTTCTTCCAAAAATGATCTAAAATCATTTTATACTGCCATCATTCTTCATCCCTTAATCAACATAAAATACATTTTTATGCATGCATAAAAATGCTATTACAATCTTAAATGGATAGTTCCTTCTCGCTTTCATTCATTCAGTGCTATTTTTTTCCATGAAAAAAGGAATTGATTACGCAATAAATTAGGCAAATATGTCAGCAGAATGCAAATTGAATTGTGCAGTTGGGAAAAGGCTTATACTTTTTAGGTGGATGAGGGATTACTTTTGTAGGATGAGTAAGTGAATGGAATGGAATCGGATCGAATCGAATTTGATGAATAATATTCCAATCATTTAACATTCTCTTTTTCCATCTTTATTTTCTTCGAATAGAGTAATCTCTTCCATCTCTTGATTAATGATCCATTCAAGCTTGAAAGAGTCTCAGGTTTTTTGTGGGGGACTCATCTATGCAAAGAAATAAATAAATCTCTTCTTCAAATTGTGATATGAAATGTAATAGGGTTGCTTTTTTCCCATAATATAAAAAATGATTGCCATTTTTAGCGAGATTTTAACATTCTTAAATTAAAGTCTGAGTCAACAAATGAAAGAAGTAGTACCGGAAAATCCAATGACCACAAGTACGGTAAGTATTGAATTTACGGCATATGTTCATTTCAGAAGTTAGAATATATGAAACAATAAAAAAAAAATTTCTAAATCTATGCATAATATTGTTAACGCAAATAATTCTCAGATGGTTTGTATTGAGTATATTTATTGATATAATTGATTTCACCTGTGATACAGGAAGAAAAAACTTCAGATGTCAAATATCAAACTATTTCGACTATCCAACTTGATGGATTATCGATAATCTGAATAGTTTATCGAATCTCAGTTTATCAGTACTTCAAAACAATCATGCATATTAAGGACAGTAATTGAAAATTACAATGAAATAAAAAACTCAAATTTTGAAAAATTACAATCTATTTACTGAAATAGAAGAGGTTAAAAAAAATAAAGTGATCTTACCTGGTGTAATACTAATACTTTCACCTATTCCTATACTATGCATTAATATCAAAGTTTTCTGATGTCAAAAATGAGGATAACAACAATGTTCCATTTTCTCAAGTGAACAAAATCCAACAATTTAAACAGATTAAATCAAAATTTTTGGAATTTTTAACAAATTAAATGAACAAAATTTTGTGTAAATTTATAACAAAATCATCCAAATTTTAAAAAAAAAATCTAAAATCAATAAATTAATTTCGTGATTTATTCAAAAAGCATATAATGGAATTCGATGAGTAATGTGATGCTAATAATTGTGTTAGTTAATTTTGATACAATTTAGTGAGAGAAATAATTGTCAGTCTGAAATTGTGAATCGATGATAGGACCAGCCATAGTGCTGGAAATAATGTTATCGGGCCGAGAATGACGATGTATCCTTAGAGAATTAATGCCGAGGAAACATCGAAATTACCCGTTTGCAAAATAAACACTGTGAGGGGCAGGGCACTTTGTTGTGTAATTGATATTTGCATATTTATTAATGTGTATGTGTGTGTGTATGTGTGTGTGTGTATGTGTGT